CGACGATGGCGGTACGGGAAAAAGAGAAGTGCCGTACCGCCTCTGTTGCTCGCTCGAAGAACTCACTCTTTGACTCCGCTCGTGCCTCGTTACGTCAGAGAGTAGCACTGATCCTTGAAACTTTCCATGTGATCATCAATCATCAGTCATCTATCAACGTATATCAACCGTGGTACTTCAACTATTCAACATCAGCAGCTCATCGTCGGCATTGAGTGCATGGCTGTATATGTAGTAGTAATTCGTAGCTAAATCAACACAGTCTCGCTATCAGAGGGTCACATTTCTCTTATAACTCCAAGGAGTCGGGGATTGGCGCCTCCGCGCGCCGCTACGATCCAAGTCACTCTGGGCATCGGATTACAGCAAAGAACCTTGAAGACCGTAAATCTCATCCTCCGCGGCTCTATGTGCGACTACAGAACATCCATCTTAAAGAAGCGTTCGCGAGGAAGGAAAGTCAAAACGGAGCGTTTGTAAGGGAAATCAAAAAACTGCGATGCTCTGTGAGTATCTCCTATCACAGCTCTGAGGATATTTCTCACCGTTGCAAGATGCATCGTAGCGTCCAGAGAGACCTGGATAATGGCAGCATTTTCAGCCTTCGGCTCTCCGATGACGCGTTCCGTGCGTGGGTCCGCGAGAAAAAGGTAATGATGCACAGACCGAAGCCAGGCTTGCGCTATTGCATCCAAGAGTCAAAACCTCACTTCTGGTGGTGTCATGAGACTGACCTCGTTCCCAGCCTCTGAATCGTTCCTCTCCCGCAAGAACGTGGAGACCTCTATCCCAGTCTTTTGCACCGTCCGGAATGTAAGTCGCAACGTGATTTTCCTGTGATTGGGTTGAACGTGGAACACTGCCGCCAATGCAGCTGCTTCACCTTCAAGTAAACAAGTTCTGCATACCCCATCAATACCCCGTCCCAACTCATCATGATAGGTAAGACCCCAGGATCCTTCAAAACGTTCTTCACATACTGTCTATGCTGTTCGAGTGTACCGCGTTCGTCCCATCCTTTGCTAACCCGTTCGTCATTCTGCCATCTGTGAAATGCTTCTAAATGTGGGCTGACTTCATCATCGATACCGATATCAAAGCAGGTGAATTCAAGCACTTGGTCAACAGTCGGACAATATCTTCTGTAGAGTACTTCTCCCGGCAAAGGCTTCGGTGGCCGTAATGGATGAGCGGTGATAACGAGGGGGGTACGAGTGAACGATTGTACTGATGGGAATGGTGCAGCAGCATACTGAGTCGAAGCAGAGGAAGGGCATAACCATCCACGCCCATGATAGCCATGCGTCCCTGCGCCTTGCCAAAACGCGGCTCTGGACAGGAAGATGTCCTCCTTTGATCCGTGGCTGCTAATTGCGGTACGACCGAGCCCTGAGCAAAGGATGTACGAACAGAGGACTATATGGTTCTGTATTTCTGGAGACAGAACGATCGGAATCGTATCTTGTTCGTGATGGCGAATAAACAGGGCGTAGATAATTGCCCACATGTCCTGAATCGTGATCTGGCGAGAACCCTGTGCGGATGCGCCACCAGATGAGATATAAATTTCTAGTACTGGGTATCTTGGTACGTGGGTGGCAGTGAGCTCGTGTGGAGTACCAACCGCTGAGAGGAGTAATACGGCAGTGCGGTCCAAAGATCGATAGGTACACACATGGACACCGTCTACCAGAATTTGAAACTCTGGAACGGAGAAATCAACACCTGACGGACAATAAGGTTGGAGCTGATTTATGTCCACCCTTTTCCTGTCAGGTAGCAAGAAGGTACGGACGGGATCGGGTGCCATGTCCCGTCTGGTCACCAAGGCGTTCTGTATGGCTTGCAAACGCTCTCGGGAACGAAACATGATGGTTCTGTTGTGAAAGAGATGTTGACAGCACTACGCCAAGCACCGAACTAGGTGGCTGATGTTGGTGTTAGGACTAGTAGAGTACCTCATGACATTAGGCCGCTATGATCATTATGATCACGCGGACTTACCTCAGCAGTCTGCACGTGATCTGTAAGATTTCTCGTACTCCCGTCCAGTGCGTCCGCTGGTTGTCCCGGTGTCCATCACATATCTACGAGCCATGCTGGAAAATGGAACTATCCCTAACGGAAGCGCAACCCTCCCAGTTGATGTATCCACTGCTCCATCAATTATTGGCATAAACTTTGGTAACTCGTATGCATCCATTGCTGTATTCACCGAGGTGCGCTTCGTCCAGCAATTTTCTCATGATAATGTGCTGAAGACTCGTACGGATAGGAGGGTGTTGCAGAGTGCATCGCTAACGAAGACGGAGAACGCCAGATTGCTTGTGCGTTGGCTTTCCATGGCGAGGAGATGGTATGGAATAGATCTCTGATCACGCTTTTCATCCGAAGTGACGATCATACACGATAACAGTACATCGGGAACCAAGCTAAGCAACAGCTTGTTAAAAACTCTCAGAACACTATCACAGGTTTTCGCAACCTTTTAGGAAAAAAGTACATCTGGCCTCGATACAACGCTGGTCTCTTCGCTGACCAAGTTTTCCAAGGTTCTCGGAGGTGCCTCAGGACAAATTATCTGTATCCGCTCCCGTCACTCAGCACCCCTCATTTCCTGATACTCCCGCCTACAAAGTAAAAGTTCTACAGCCTGCTCCGTCACCCCTCCCTGTCACTGCAACTAACACCCCTACTGCCTCACGAGTGGCTACGCCTCGTTCCGAGCCCGTTGAAGTAGAAAGGATCCTCACCGCCTTTGAAGTTGCTACCATCTTCCTCGCCTCCCTTCTTCAATCTGCCGAGGAATTTCTTGGCAAAAAAGTTGTTGGCGCCGTCATCAGCGTACCATCGTGGTTCGACGATGCCCAGCGCGAAGCGCTATCAAAAGCTGCAGAAGAAGCTGGAATTCCCGTCCTCCAGCTCCTTGACGACGCCGGCGCTGCTGCGGTGTGCACGTCTCAGAGCGCTGATGATGTTCCTGGAGATCGGACACAACTTATCGTCGATCTTGGTGCATCCTCGCTCGAACTGTCACTTCTCTCAATCCGTGAGGGCCTCGCATACTCGTTGGCAACGCTTTCGGACTCTAGTGTCGGTGGCGACGAGATTGACTCGAAGCTCATCAAATTCTTTTCCAAGGAGTTCACGAAGAAAACAAAAACGCCACTCACAGTGGCACCTGCTACTAATCCTTTGGATAAGCGTGCAGAAGCCAAACTTCGTCTTGCCGTCGAGCATACGAAGCGCACATTGAGTGCTAGCCCCGGTGCTGCCACGTGCTCCGTCGAGTCACTGAGAGACGGCTTGGACTACACTGGGTCGATCAACCGCCTTCGATTCGATATGGAGGTACGATCGATATACGACAAGGTCTACGCTAAGGTCAAAGAGTTGGCTGCGAGTGCTGAGATTGATCTCTACGACATTGATGAGATAGTTTACATTGGGGGTTCCGCTTCACTTCCAGGCTTGGACGAAACATTGTCTGAAGGGTTCACCGAGTCCGTCATTACGCCATTCAAAGCAGGAACAGTTGTCGGTGGGGGAACCGGAGACCCCACTACCATCCTTGCTCGGGGATGCGCCTTCCAAGCCCATTTGCTCGTCTCGCTTGCGCAAGAGTCTCCAGAGCTTTTGGGCTCATTCAGCAAGGGAAGCGACCAGACGAGCGTCGCTGCAACCAGCCGGACCATCGGCCTACTCGTGCCTCGGGAAGACGCTGAGGGAACCATGGGCGGCATCTGGATACCTCTTGTCTTCAAAGAGACACCCCTTCCTTGTCGTAGAACATCGACTTTCGAGGTGGATGTTAGCGGTGCTGATGCCACAGTTGGCTTTGAGCTGTGGGAGGTCAAGGAGGGTGTCAAGAACGACCACATTAAGTTACCCAAATTCGAAGATGATGAGGGAGAGGAAGCAGAGGAGGAGGTAAAAGAAAAGACACTGACGAAGGAGGCTTACTTGCTCTCATTGACATTGTCACCTCAGTACGCCGTCGGAGGTAAAACAATAGTGCAGGTTCAGGCGGTGGTGTCTGGAAGTGGCGCCCTCGACGTCAGTCTACGTGAGGTACTCAAAGACAGCTTGGGTGCGGCAGTCACCGCCAGTGTTGCGGCACCATGATGGTATGTCCAGATACGATGGTTCTCGTGGATTTCGCTGATGCTGCGTCAGTGATTTACGATACACGACAGCATGAGGGATATTCCCCGCTATCCTCATTCCACTCCTGCATAACTTAGAGTTCGCAACCCATCTCGTGCAATAAATCTTGTTGTCAACTTACCTCTAGTTTTCCTTTGATAAATCGTCCCATGAGATCTCGACATCCCGCATCGTTCACGACGATAACTAACCTCGACACCACTTTGTCTTAGCAACTCCTCACCTATCTGGTTTTCATTTTCCCCGATGACGACGCGGAGCATCTGGTAGATTGCACCTGTGCACGTGTTGCGAGGGCTGCCAGAGTGAAGTGAGTCAATGGGCCTGTACCTATAATTGCAATGACTACCTTATTGTCGTACACTATTCGCGTCACAACATCAGCCTACTCGCGATAATTGATTAACAGTCCCCGCGCACCATCGTCAATTTCCTATAAACATCTGTTTCGAGCTGGCCTGCATCTTCCAGCGTCGCGATCTCAGCATGGAGAGTCAGAGACGCCTTTTGGACCCTCTGATTGTGAAAGCAACAGAGGACGACGGCGTTCGCTGTGTCAAGCGATGTTCCGTGGTAGACGAGTGGGGCACCGATTGGCACACCGCCCTTTTGGTAACTCTCCCGTGCTTTCGCGAGAGCTGTTGTTAGTTCGAGCTTATCGAGGTCGCTCATCGTAAAGCCGGGATGGCCATGATAGCAGAATTACCAGTGGATGTCTGGTCAGGCGGTTGCTCCCATATCGTCCCTGTATTGCCCTGCGGTTAAGAACAATCATCAGCCAGGGAAGTACACGTTTGCTTGCTCCAGGTTGCTTCGCCAATAAAAAAGGAACATGCCCTGAGCAAGGCTCGAACTTGCGACCTCAGGATTGCCTGGAATCCAATTCCAGTCATACAAGTGTATGAGACCTGCGCTCTAGCCAACTGAGCCATCAAGGCGGTGTCAGGGAACGATTAACTGATAACATAGCTGCTACTTAGCCAGCTGGCTAGAATAATTAAAATATTACCTTGTCCAAAGTTAGGGTTCCTCAATAAAAATCGGGTCTACGTTCTTCCACGGTTCCTTGCCTCCCCCCTTCCACACTCTTTCTCGCTCCATCCAGTATTCGAGTACATTGCCCACTCTAGATGGCGTCCACACGCGATCTCCAGTGTCTCCATCCGTTTCTGCAGTGAACCACCTCGGTTGGTAGCCTGTTAGCCTCCCTTCCTCCCTTGCTTTCCGTGTCGCTCGCTGTTTCTCCTCCTGCTTGACTTTCAGGTCGTTTGCAAGCTCATATTTACCCATCTCGAACGCGCGTTGATCAGGACGAAGGCGGCAGTCTGTAGGACACAGTAATGGCTGGAGTGTATCCTCTGGGCAGTCGTTCAGCGTGATTGCGAACGGGGTGAGGTTGAAAGGTGCAGGGGGTTTATCAGAGTTTCTCCACAACAAAATGTACTCTGCCATATAGTTCGGTGACGAAGGGGCACTGACCGTCGCGTCGGGGTGCAGGAATCCACTTCCGGTACCCACGGCACGGCAGATGAGTTGACTATTCCAGCGACCTGCGATTTCGTAGGTGGTTTCGCCATCTACATCCCGAACGGATCCTGAGATCTCGTATGCATCTCTGCCACGCCATCCTCTGGGCTTAAATGTTAGAATGCACTGATCTCCTGTACGGTGGTTTGTGACCTACGAAATATTCTCGTTAGTACGTGCGTAAGCAAGGAGGGAGTTCAATAACTGACGATCATGTCACCGTAATGGTCTATGGTAGGAGACCCAAGGATGAAGCCGGAAACATTTGTGGTGACTTTCTTCCAGGAGTAGTGCTCCACTACTTTGTCCTTGCCGCCAAAAGTAGTTGCTTTAGGGTAATCTGGTGCCCAAGCTTCGGGCAGAAGAAGCTCTGCGTGTGCAACACCAGTGGGCCGAATCTCAAAGGATTTTCCCATAAACTTGTTTTGGGCGTCAACCTCCATAAACGGTGATCAATGATCAAATATGCTTATTTAGTCTGTGGGCAGATATTCACTTCACCGTAATAATGCCAATGGGGGGACTCCGCCCAGCAAGCTGAGATAGGTGGGTGATGGCTAACTTGCTCGGACATGTATCGATATTCCTTGTCTAGTCTCACATATTCGAATGTTTCACCCTGGAAGAAGAGTATGAGTGCAAGGAAAGCATATAATCTTGGATGCTGCTCACAAGCATGGGGTTAAACGGCTTTGCGATACGTCCAATAGTCGATGAATAATTAGACATTGCAAATGCGGCGACGAATGCTATTCGTCGATGGGGGTCTTTCTCTCGAGCAGCTACGTCGACTACCAAAGACAGAATCAATGAATGAAGTTGACAACCAAAACTTGTGAACCAACACTTACGACACTCAGAGAATTCCATATCTTCTGCCTACAAGCGTGGGTTTGAGCTCGCTGACATCCCCAAGATGCCATTCCACTCACCATTCGCTGTAACATACTCGTCGGTTCATTAAAGAACACGGGGAAACTGATCCTCGTCAAATCCTTCCCTATGCTATGTTTCAAAACAGACCAAAGACTAGTGGATGGCCTATTGTCGCTCCCGATGGGTAACCGCGTCCTCAGATGTCTGTATCCCAAAAATGGCTCCAGGTTGATGGCAAGTGGTAATGCGAGTACTGAGAGTGTCGGGCTCGTGAGAAGTTCGCTAACGACGAGGTTCGGGAGGTTGTTTGACTCTATGGCGTCAAAGAACTCGTCTTCCTCGTCCGTGCCAAATGATTCTTGGTCCTCATCTGATGCGAGGAGAGTCGGCGACTTGAATCGCGATACTCGGCGTTGCGTTGGTGTCAAAAGTACAGGTGACTGAGAGACTCCAGCGGTGGCGATGTCTGGGGTCGACGCAGCGGAAATCGTTTCGTTAGCTGTAAAGTAAGTTGAGGCCTGCGCTGAAGGCAAAGTCGACGGAGCGAGCGCGAGGGACATCGGTCGCTGCCTCGTTTTCCCTCTGGTCTCGAGGGTTCCTATATCGAAGAATCTGCTCCCGCGTCTTCGAGAGCGAATACGCAGCTCATTTTCGAGGGCTTCGCCTTCGCGGACAACCATCTGCAAGCTTTCTTCCCAAATTGTCTGACGTTCGCGTTCTCGTTGAAGTTGTGACTTCCACCACTCTTCCCTATCTTTCGTCATTTGGACATACTCATCCGTCATTGATTGGGCGGTGGCGAATGACTCCTTGAGCGCATCTCGAAGCTCCTGCAGTCGCGATGGTACATCAGGTGGCAATAACAAGCCAGCGAGGAGTTGCGCCGTAAGGTCCATCTGCGCGGCCACCGAATTCCCGTGTAAATCAAAAGTGCTCTTGTGTGGGGGCTGGTTTTGCGACGATTCCGATGCTGAGGAACTGTCGTGATGGTTCGCTGCCTCGTCTTCGAATTCTTCCTCATTCCGCACTTTGATGCTGTCCTTCGTGACGTCTCCAGCAGGTCCGTTGCCCTCATCTCTCGCATCCATGAGCGACCCTTGTTCTTCCTTCAAGCGATGCACTCCGAGGTCGACTTTCGTCCTTGACGTTACAGACACCCCCGACTGGAGGCTCGTCCGAACCTTTGAAGGCTTCAACGCACTCCTGTCACTCTCCCCGCTCCGCCTCCCGATAGGCCCCTGCTCTGCTTCGCGTCTGTACCACTCCATACTCTTTCCGATCGCCTGGGTCCACCGTGTAGCTTCGACGGGATGGTTCGCCCGCACATACCATTTCTGCACGCCTGACGTGTGCCCACGCGACGGCGTCGAGTGAACTTCAAATCTCGTTTTTTCGGCTCCAGTGCCTGCTTTTAAAATCGCGGTCTTCATCGATATCGTTCCTCTACTGGCGACGCTTTCGTCTTCTTGGTGTCTGTAATCTGTATGAAGAGTGGAATGAGAGTTGCATCTGGCTGAATCATAGTTGGAGCACGAACAGGAAAGAACACCGTCCTTGAGAACGAACCACCGAGTGTTGTACCCCCGAGCGACATTTGTATACTTGTTCAGGTATCCCTTCAGAATAGGAGGCTCCGAGATCGGCACCTCTATCAAAGACTTGTCGTGATTTGCGACTGCATTTTCTCAGAGAACCGACCTTCAGAGAGGCCAGACAAAAACTTACATTGCCGCAAAAATACTCTCACACGGTCGTCCTTGCCCACCCCATCATACGTCATCTTTCCCCGTCGGTCCCGCACGAATACGTCGGCCCCTGCACACACAGCGAGTTCAGTCAACCTCAGGTCCTTTCTTCGTGCTGCCTCGTGTAGGAGCGAGGTTCCCGAAGTGTCATCTAGGTACGACAGATCAACTCCTTTCGCACGCGGAGACTGGAGAAGCGAAACCAAGGCCGAGCTAGGTTGTGCTTTGATATCAGAAAGCACGTAAGAATGCAGGAGTGATTTGTACGATGCGTTCAAGAAGGACCGGGAATCTGTCACGGGGTGAGACATGAGACATACATTAGCAGACACAAAGTTACCTTGCAGTACTTGGATGGTTTCTTTCCCCTTTGCTACATCCTTACAACTGCGTCCTCGGGCATCCCGAAGGGTATCATCTATCCCTGGCTGGTCGAGGAGAACGGAAATGATGTCGGCACGTCCCAGCGATGCCGCGAGATGAAGGGCGGTGGTGCCACTACCTGGCGGATGCACGCCATTCGGAGAAATAGCTCTGTGCGATACCAGGAGTTGCACTGTATCCACTGCCGTGGAATCATTCGGTCAACGAGGCTTGTGATTCGCGATCTGAGATACACCACCCACCAGAAGCGCAACGGATGGCGAGATGTAGAGCTGCGGCCCCAGTATTTAGGTCACCATCAATTGAATTGCGTCTTTCCTTGCTTATTTCGGTCAAGAATGGATGAATGAGGGCGGGGTCCCCTAGTGCGACGGTAAATTACACCGGGACTCATCGGAAAGACGACACGCACCACTTCTGAGAGCGGAAAGTAGCTTAACCTGCTGTAAAGGTTCTGCCATACCTGAGGTAGGTTAATCAAGATTCAAGCGCACCCGAGAGGTTCAGACACCGTACTGGTACTGGTAGCCCCATAACTGTGAACACTGGCAGGCGACGAAGACATGGCTGTTCAACACGCCGTCGCAATTTCTCACCTGCGTTGACGGTACCTCCTTGTACCAGGTCGTGGTCGAAGTCAGCGAGACGGTGAACAGGTGGTGATTCTAACTTGAATTATAGAAAGGTGAACTCGAGCCAGTGCACTCAGTGGCGGCAAAAGGCCCATACACACGTGACGGGAGTGGCTGTGTGGTTTCGGTGTTTGGTTTGCCATTGTCTTGGAACTTGCTGCACTCCGATGAAGCCCACAGGGTTGGTTTTCGACGTTCTTTCTGACGCGACCACGAACCTTCTGCGGCACTTACTGTAGTAATTTGCAGCTCTACGGTGCAACATAAATTTATGTTTCTATTTCAACCGACTTGGAGTCTGTTTCCGAATTCGAATCCATTGGCATGCAGCGCACTGCGGTATATGAGAGTCGAGACCCCACCGTAACCCCGTTCTGAGTTGCTCTTGCACGACTCAGGCGAGCTGTCGCAGTGCACGTCGTCTTCCCGTGTCAGGTATACAAAAATTTCTTCATTTTCAAGGTTTCAAAAGGTGACACTTGGTGGGTAATCTGAGTCACGAATATCTTTTCTCATGTCTTTACAAAGATATGGACCTTCGGTTCCGACCACCTTCGTCTCTCCAACTGACGCGAGATATGAGTTCGAACGATTACGCCCCAGAAAAGGAGTCAGCCTTCGACGTAGAGGTTGCATCTACTGAGATTACATAGTAAGGATGCAATCCCCGCCCCTCCGGTTCCCCTCAGCCGCAAGTTAAAGAATAGACACGTGGCAATGATAAGGTCAGTTATAGCACTTTTCGTTGGTGCACACAGCTAACCTCCATAATCT